CGGGGCCCAAAGGCAGATCAAGCTCACGCATGGGCCGAGATAAACTCCGAGTAAGCCCCCTCATGCAACCACCTCCGCCCTTCTGACGATTATTATGCAGGGTCTTGAAACGCTTCATTGAGGGAGACCAGTCGCACGACAACACCGTCCTCACCGCTATTACGGTTTGTCGGTTGCTACTTTTCTTTCTATTTCACTCACTCAACTTTCGTAGGCCCTCAACGTCGTGATTCGTATGGAGGAAAGTTTTCTTTACCTCTTTATTTATTTCATCTGTCTTACCCCTTCACAGCCGACCATGAACTATCCCTTCAACGTCCGCTCCTTCTTCACCAACCGCGAGACGAAGGACATTGGCGCGGGCCTGGAGCTTTGGGTGAGTACAACATTCGCTTCGTTGTTCCGTCGCTGACTTTGTGCTTCAGCGTGGATACTTCCAGTCGATTCGTCCCGCGATGGGCAAGATGCTCATCAACGTCGACATCTCCACCGGCACGATGTACAAACACGGCCCACTTCTTCGTCTCTGCCTCGAGTACATCTGCAAGAACGACCCGAATGCATTGTCACCCAAGCGCGGTTTACCGGATCGCGAGCGCCTCCGCCTCCAGCGCTTCATTAGTGGGATCCGCGTCCTGACCACCCACGCCGGTCCCAATGGCGACGCCGTGCAGACGCCTCGAGTGATCAAGAAGCTCAGCACTGCCGGCGCCAGCTCCCTCACGTTCCAGATGCGCGAGGGACAGACCATGACCGTCGCCGATTATTTCCGGAACACGCAGAACAAGCCTCTCCAGTTCCCGGACGTAATCTGCTGCGAGGTCGGCTCGGGAGCCTTGATTCCTTTGGGTACGCGTCCATCGCATTTACTGTGACGTTCTGACCGCCTCCCAGAGCTTTGCACCGTTCCTCCCGGCCAAGTGAGTGTGCCCCCTTCTGTTTTTCCTCTTGTGCTAACATCCATTCAAGTTGATGAGGAAACAAGTGCCGCCCGAGAAGACCAAGGATGTGTATGTCCACTCGCCATAATCATCGCTGCGGACCTCGACTCACCTCTTCACTCAGCCTCGACTTTGCGACCAAGAAGCCCGCCGACCGTCTTCGCAGCATCGTCAACGGTCTTGGTGTACGTCTGATCCCCTGCGGTTACTACCTTTTTGCTCACCTTCTTCGTGAACAGGTCCTGGCGTACGGACAGTCCGAATACGTCCGCCAGTTTGGCATGACCGTCGATCATGCTGCAGGCCCGCTCAAGGTTCAGGCCAGGGTGTTGAAGCCGCCGATGCTAAAATACGGCGCTGGTTCCCGCCAGCTGACCATTGTATGCTCTCCTCTGCATCTCATCCGCTTTCTTAATTCCTATTTAGACTCCGCGCGACGGGGCGTGGAACATGGTCGACAAGCGCTTCTTTAAGCCGGTCAGCATCGACCGATGGGTCGTCGTCATCTATGAGCGGCAGGTCAGTTGGCGCTACCCTCCTCTTGTTTCATCTGACGGTACAACAGGCTCGGTTCAATGACGGTGCGGCGGCGGACATGATCAATGGACTTGTTAATAGCTGCCGCGACGTTGGTAAGTCCGTGCCTCTTTCTCTTCTCGGGTTCCAGCTCATACCGTGTCCGCAGGCATCAAGCTCGACCCGAACCCGTTGGTCTTCTGGGAGAACGGCCAGGGCAGAATCGCCGACCAGCTCAGATCGGCCGGCGCCGCTTGTGCCCAAAAACACAAGGCGGGCCCCAACCTCATGGTCGTTATCCTTCCCGAGGTGATTACCCTGTGCTTCGAAGAGATACGCTTACTTACGCTACGAAAAGGGCGGCAACGATATTTACACGTCCGTCAAGCAGTACGTCCTTCTTTCCCTCATATGCGCTGTTTCTTAATTCCCTCCGAAGCTTCGGCGACATCACGGTCTGCGTTCCTGCTCTCTCGGCTTTGCTTAGAACTTGACTTCTTTCATCCAGATGGGTGTCGCGACGCAGTGCTTGAAATCGAGCAAATGCTTCCGCGCGAAACCCCAATACTACGCCAACGTTTGCCTCAAGTTCGTCTATTTGCATTACATTTCCGCTCTTATCTTACCCTTTGCGCAGGATCAATGTCAAACTTGGTGGTATTAACACCATCCCCGACCCGTCTTCGGTCTCCGTCTTGACCGACCAGCACAACCCTACCATCGTCATGGGAGGTTCGTCTATTCTTCCATGTACTTCCATCCTTCTCCTGACGGCTCGCTTGAATCCCTTCAGCTGATGTTTGTCCATCTCCACTTCAGTCTGGCTAAGTTAAACATTGTGTTTCAGGTGATCCACCCCGCCCCCGGCTCCGATGGTCGCCCTTCGTTCACGGCCCTCGTCGCCAATGTCGACTCGGACACTGCCAAGTACATCGCCGCCAGCCGCGTCCAGACTTCTCGTCAGGAAATGATCGAGGAGTTGGAATCCATGAGCCACCACGTCCTCTCAATGTACATGAGGTACCGCCAGATGGCCGAGAAAAAGCCCGCCGGGGCCACTGCCCCGAAGCGTATCATCTTCTATCGCGGTGCGTTTTACTACTCTCTTTCCCTCTTTATCGCGTCTCACTTTACTCTCAGATGGTGTCTCCGAAGGACAGTTCAAACAGGTTTTGGAGCAAGGTTAGTCTACCACCACCGTTTTCACCTTCGTTAATAATTTATACCGTTTGATAGAACTCCCGTTGATCAAAAGTCTGTCGTCATCCTTTTCTTACCTGCACTGTGTCCCATTATATCCTCAGAGGCCTGCGCCGCCCTCAACATCAGCCCCAAGATTACGATCCTCGTTGTCGGAAAGGTTTGCTTCAGCATCTCCATTCTAGGCTATTCACTGACTCCACCTCGCAGCGCCATCACGTCAGGTATGTTGTCTTGTTCGTCCCATGTACTTGACTAAACCTCTTTTCAGATTCTTCCCTCAGTCGGAGCGCGATGCGGACCGCAGCGGCAACTGTAAGGCGGGCACCGTCGTCGACAGAGAGGTGTCACACCCCACCGAGTTCGACTTTTATCTCCAGTCGCACGGAGGGTTGCTTGGCGAGTTTTTTTTTCTTCTGCATTCTTCGCGGCGATTTATTTACCGTTAACCTCGAATCACTTCACTAGGCACGAGTCGTCCCGCGCATTATTCGGTGCTGTATGATGTGAGTATATATATATATATTCCTTCTCTTTATTTTCAAACTAATCGGTTCGCAGGAAAACAACTTCAGGTGAATTCGACCTCACATCCCTATGAAAGCGCCCTTATTCTTTGTGCTCTAGCGCCGACGCGTTGCAGTCCCTGTCCTTCGCCTTGTGCCACGTCTACGCCCGTTCTACGCGCTCCGTGTCGATCCCGGCCCCTGTTTACTGTGAGTGTTCACGTCGAAGTGTCTTCATCGCCAATCGCTAATCCTTCTCTAGATGCCGACATTGTCTGCTCCAGGGCCAAGAACCACTATGATCCGCAGGGCACCGTGGACTTCTCGGACTCTGCGACTCAGATCGACGACGCGCAGGCCAGCAGTTCGCTTGAGGCTTTCAGACGCGGCTTTAAGCCCCTTCACCAGTCGCAATCGACTCTGATGTATTTCTCTGTTCGTCCTTTATATTCTTCTCGCTGTGTTCCTTCCTTGATGCTGTTCTCCAGTAATTTATCTTGCTTATTAAATCCATCTTGGTATGTCGCGTCCACTTCCAAATTACGCGTCTCACTTGCAGGCTCGCTAGTAACTGCTGCCATCCAACACCTGTACTTGATCTAGTGTCGAATCATTTAATGTTGCATGTACTTCTATTCCAATCGATTTCCTGTCGGCTTTTCGCCATTGCCCATTTTTTGTTGCGACCATGTTTGATGAAATCACGCTCGATTTGATGAGATCACGCCCAACTTTGGGACGCGACAGTTTAGGACAGTTTGTCGGTACTACTTTCTTTCTATTTTACTCATTCTTTCGTAGGTAACGTCTATGAGGGTTCGTTTGTACAAAAAACCGCGCGAAAGAGGTCGGCGCGCGCGAAAGAAACCCGGCGCGCGCGAAAGAAACCCGGCGCGCGCGAAAGAAACCCAGTGCGCGCGAAAAGAAGGTTGATTGCGCGCGAAAGAAACGTGAGTCAGACAGTTGGTGTCATCAAGCCGAGTGCGAGCCGAGTGGCTGTGGGACACTAACTTAGTAGTATAGTTTCCTCAAGTCCTCCATGTACTTCACCCAAAAATACAGATTTCTACATGGCGTCATATCTGTAGTCCTCTGCTTCATATCAAACCTGCGTATGTCATATAATAGATCCAAATGTGTTCAAGACCTTAGGTTTCCTACCGCTCAACATTGGCACAGCAGGATTTATGTAGAATCAGCCAGTAGGGAACCCTTATCTCTTCACCCTTCCGACTCCTTTGGCAGGGAGTCGATGTGAACTTTGGGGAAAACCTCACAATCTAATCTAATCTAATCCAAGACATCTTATCTTATCTGAGACAGCATCCCGACGTTTACAACCCAATGTCCTGAACCTGTCTGGACACGGAGACATGGGGTAATATTTGTTGCAATTGTATCTAAGAAACTCAGCTATCCTCCGAGGAAAGCAGTGATGGTCGACTCCAGGTCGAGACCGTTTACATAATATATCGTGGGTGGTCCAGGAGGCTTAGGTGGAGGGCACTAGTACCCGAGGACACACCAGGAGAGCTGATGGAGTTGTAAAGATGCTCTTTGTCCAAATTTGCAATAGTACCTATTAATTACTGAATCATCGCTCTTTCGCACGCGCTGGTCCTCTTTCGCGCGCGCAGATCTATTTTTTGTACAAAAGAACCATCATAAACGTCGTGATTCGTATGGAGCAAAGTTTTCTTTTGCCACACACAGCTCCGATCGAAATTTGCAAGTATTTCTGCGGAAGAGTTTATCTCCTTCATCACCAGTTGTTTCCTTCCGACATTTTATCGTTGCGAGATCGGCTGACAGCTAGTATCCCCTCTTCTTTACCAATGGTTGCGTAGTGTAGCGGTTATCACTCCAGATTCTGATTACGCGACTTCTGGCAACCCCGGTTCGATTCCGGGCGCGACCTGATTTTTCTCTATTTTTTCACCTAACTCTATCTTCCCTTCCAGTTCCTTCTACCTCCTTGTCTCATCTCACCCAACCAGACTATTTTATTTTTAATTACTCTTGTTTAAGTGATCCTCGACCTCCTGAACCAGGGTTTAACAACCAGATCCCTCCGTTGAGATATGTCGCGAACGAAAGCCAAGCACAGTACGGCAAGAGCAAGTAAGCTGCTTGGGGAGAATTTACGGCGAGTAATTTCTGAAGTTTGTGAGCCATATACGCGCACAATAGAGAAACGGTTAAATCTACAGTCATGTAGAACGTTGCAGCAGTCATGATCCCAATGTCGACCAACGCGGTTCCGGTCTAGTCACTTAATTAGGCGGATAGATGTAGTACCATGCTGGAAGGACATACCTTCTTAGCACCGAAGAACAAGGGTGTCCAGAGAATGTTTAAAGCAAGTTGGGTGTAATACAGGGAAAGGGCGAGCATACAGTCAGACCTGAAAATGAGGCATTCCTCATCGGAGCCAAGTTGGAAGAACATTAAATTACTTACCTGACTGATGGAGACAGAGTATTGTCTAGGGCTCTCACGGTGAGATGTGAGGCATATCCCATGGCTCAAGGAGATCCGTTCATGCAGGCGTCTTCCGAAAAGCTGGCTGCTCACAGATGTATAGGATAGGCCAGACAATAGGGAACACCTGGCGCGGTGGGCGGCCGGGAGGAGTGCGCAAGTTCTATTTGAACCGTGAGTTTACTCCCGGAGAGCCAGAGCGTACAAACCTTGTACCAATCACTTCGGACGACTTGGGCTGTCGGATATCCAGACAGAAGGCCAAGACCGAGAGGCAGCCCAACTGCCACGAGAGGAATTCTCGCCGCGACGAGGAGAAATTGGGGAAGGTGGATGTTGAGCGACGCCATTTTCTGGTTGAAGAGAGCAACGAACAGAGGTGTTGAGGCAAGCCGCGTGACGTCATAAGGGCGGAATCGATCGCGCCCAAGTCGCGTCCCAAAGTTGGGCGTGATCTCATCAAATCGAGCGTGATTTCATCAAACATGGTCGCAACAAAAAATGGGCAATGGCGAAAAGCCGACAGGAAATCGATTGGAATAGAAGTACATGCAACATTAAATGATTCGACACTAGATCAAGTACAGGTGTTGGATGGCAGCAGTTACTAGCGAGCCTGCAAGTGAGACGCGTAATTTGGAAGTGGACGCGACATACCAAGATGGATTTAATAAGCAAGATAAATTACTGGAGAACAGCATCAAGGAAGGAACACAGCGAGAAGAATATAAAGGACGAACAGAGAAATACATCAGAGTCGATTGCGACTGGTGAAGGGGCTTAAAGCCGCGTCTGAAAGCCTCAAGCGAACTGCTGGCCTGCGCGTCGTCGATCTGAGTCGCAGAGTCCGAGAAGTCCACGGTGCCCTGCGGATCATAGTGGTTCTTGGCCCTGGAGCAGACAATGTCGGCATCTAGAGAAGGATTAGCGATTGGCGATGAAGACACTTCGACGTGAACACTCACAGTAAACAGGGGCCGGGATCGACACGGAGCGCGTAGAACGGGCGTAGACGTGGCACAAGGCGAAGGACAGGGACTGCAACGCGTCGGCGCTAGAGCACAAAGAATAAGGGCGCTTTCATAGGGATGTGAGGTCGAATTCACCTGAAGTTGTTTTCCTGCGAACCGATTAGTTTGAAAATAAAGAGAAGGAATATATATATATATACTCACATCATACAGCACCGAATAATGCGCGGGACGACTCGTGCCTAGTGAAGTGATTCGAGGTTAACGGTAAATAAATCGCCGCGAAGAATGCAGAAGAAAAAAAAACTCGCCAAGCAACCCTCCGTGCGACTGGAGATAAAAGTCGAACTCGGTGGGGTGTGACACCTCTCTGTCGACGACGGTGCCCGCCTTACAGTTGCCGCTGCGGTCCGCATCGCGCTCCGACTGAGGGAAGAATCTGAAAAGAGGTTTAGTCAAGTACATGGGACGAACAAGACAACATACCTGACGTGATGGCGCTGCGAGGTGGAGTCAGTGAATAGCCTAGAATGGAGATGCTGAAGCAAACCTTTCCGACAACGAGGATCGTAATCTTGGGGCTGATGTTGAGGGCGGCGCAGGCCTCTGAGGATATAATGGGACACAGTGCAGGTAAGAAAAGGATGACGACAGACTTTTGATCAACGGGAGTTCTATCAAACGGTATAAATTATTAACGAAGGTGAAAACGGTGGTGGTAGACTAACCTTGCTCCAAAACCTGTTTGAACTGTCCTTCGGAGACACCATCTGAGAGTAAAGTGAGACGCGATAAAGAGGGAAAGAGAGTAGTAAAACGCACCGCGATAGAAGATGATACGCTTCGGGGCAGTGGCCCCGGCGGGCTTTTTCTCGGCCATCTGGCGGTACCTCATGTACATTGAGAGGACGTGGTGGCTCATGGATTCCAACTCCTCGATCATTTCCTGACGAGAAGTCTGGACGCGGCTGGCGGCGATGTACTTGGCAGTGTCCGAGTCGACATTGGCGACGAGGGCCGTGAACGAAGGGCGACCATCGGAGCCGGGGGCGGGGTGGATCACCTGAAACACAATGTTTAACTTAGCCAGACTGAAGTGGAGATGGACAAACATCAGCTGAAGGGATTCAAGCGAGCCGTCAGGAGAAGGATGGAAGTACATGGAAGAATAGACGAACCTCCCATGACGATGGTAGGGTTGTGCTGGTCGGTCAAGACGGAGACCGAAGACGGGTCGGGGATGGTGTTAATACCACCAAGTTTGACATTGATCCTGCGCAAAGGGTAAGATAAGAGCGGAAATGTAATGCAAATAGACGAACTTGAGGCAAACGTTGGCGTAGTATTGGGGTTTCGCGCGGAAGCATTTGCTCGATTTCAAGCACTGCGTCGCGACACCCATCTGGATGAAAGAAGTCAAGTTCTAAGCAAAGCCGAGAGAGCAGGAACGCAGACCGTGATGTCGCCGAAGCTTCGGAGGGAATTAAGAAACAGCGCATATGAGGGAAAGAAGGACGTACTGCTTGACGGACGTGTAAATATCGTTGCCGCCCTTTTCGTAGCGTAAGTAAGCGTATCTCTTCGAAGCACAGGGTAATCACCTCGGGAAGGATAACGACCATGAGGTTGGGGCCCGCCTTGTGTTTTTGGGCACAAGCGGCGCCGGCCGATCTGAGCTGGTCGGCGATTCTGCCCTGGCCGTTCTCCCAGAAGACCAACGGGTTCGGGTCGAGCTTGATGCCTGCGGACACGGTATGAGCTGGAACCCGAGAAGAGAAAGAGGCACGGACTTACCAACGTCGCGGCAGCTATTAACAAGTCCATTGATCATGTCCGCCGCCGCACCGTCATTGAACCGAGCCTGTTGTACCGTCAGATGAAACAAGAGGAGGGTAGCGCCAACTGACCTGCCGCTCATAGATGACGACGACCCATCGGTCGATGCTGACCGGCTTAAAGAAGCGCTTGTCGACCATGTTCCACGCCCCGTCGCGCGGAGTCTAAATAGGAATTAAGAAAGCGGATGAGATGCAGAGGAGAGCATACAATGGTCAGCTGGCGGGAACCAGCGCCGTATTTTAGCATCGGCGGCTTCAACACCCTGGCCTGAACCTTGAGCGGGCCTGCAGCATGATCGACGGTCATGCCAAACTGGCGGACGTATTCGGACTGTCCGTACGCCAGGACCTGTTCACGAGAAGGTGAGCAAAAAGGTAGTAACCGCAGGGGATCAGACGTACACCAAGACCGTTGACGATGCTGCGAAGACGGTCGGCGGGCTTCTTGGTCGCAAAGTCGAGGCTGAGTGAAGAGGTGAGTCGAGGTCCGCAGCGATGATTATGGCGAGTGGACATACACATCCTTGGTCTTCTCGGGCGGCACTTGTTTCCTCATCAACTTGAATGGATGTTAGCACAAGAGGAAAAACAGAAGGGGGCACACTCACTTGGCCGGGAGGAACGGTGCAAAGCTCTGGGAGGCGGTCAGAACGTCACAGTAAATGCGATGGACGCGTACCCAAAGGAATCAAGGCTCCCGAGCCGACCTCGCAGCAGATTACGTCCGGGAACTGGAGAGGCTTGTTCTGCGTGTTCCGGAAATAATCGGCGACGGTCATGGTCTGTCCCTCGCGCATCTGGAACGTGAGGGAGCTGGCGCCGGCAGTGCTGAGCTTCTTGATCACTCGAGGCGTCTGCACGGCGTCGCCATTGGGACCGGCGTGGGTGGTCAGGACGCGGATCCCACTAATGAAGCGCTGGAGGCGGAGGCGCTCGCGATCCGGTAAACCGCGCTTGGGTGACAATGCATTCGGGTCGTTCTTGCAGATGTACTCGAGGCAGAGACGAAGAAGTGGGCCGTGTTTGTACATCGTGCCGGTGGAGATGTCGACGTTGATGAGCATCTTGCCCATCGCGGGACGAATCGACTGGAAGTATCCACGCTGAAGCACAAAGTCAGCGACGGAACAACGAAGCGAATGTTGTACTCACCCAAAGCTCCAGGCCCGCGCCAATGTCCTTCGTCTCGCGGTTGGTGAAGAAGGAGCGGACGTTGAAGGGATAGTTCATGGTCGGCTGTGAAGGGGTAAGACAGATGAAATAAATAAAGAGGTAAAGAAAACTTTCCTCCATACGAATCACGACGTTGAGGGCCTACGAAAGTTGAGTGAGTGAAATAGAAAGAAAAGTAGCAACCGACAAACCGTAATAGCGGTGAGGACGGTGTTGTCGTGCGACTGGTCTCCCTCAATGAAGCGTTTCAAGACCCTGCATAATAATCGTCAGAAGGGCGGAGGTGCTCGCACGCGAAGTCGCTCACTCGGGGTTAATCTCGGCCACATGCGTGAGTTTGATCTTGTAGACCTTGGGGCCCTTTCCGCTGCTGGTGGACGTCGAATCGGCGAGGGTGACGTCGAATTCCTGGCTGCCGGTCTCGAAGGGAAGCTCGCGGATGCTGAAGATGTTCT